TGATACTATCAAATCTCAATGATTACAAACCTTTAGCAGGAAGAAAACTGAATGATATGTGAGCAGATTGCGTCTCAGGCAACAACATGTGATCCAACATTAAACATGGGTTTTTCAAGTTACGGAGTCATAGACTTGTGGAAGAGCCCAGGTTGGAAGGGACCTCGAAAGATCATCTGGTCCAACCAGATGGTTGGTTATGTAGTGAAGTAGACAAGAATAGGAAGAGAGAAACCATTTGCTTTAATGAAATAGGCCTGAAATTTTATTTCTGTATGTTCTCATCAGGAATCTTCTAGCTTTCACGTAGTAGAAAGTAAGTGCTTCTTCCCCTTCTTGCTGGGACGAAGCACCTTAAATTCTTAGAGTTAGAAGGGGCTGTTGTTTATATATAAAAATGTAGTTTTTATATACATCTATCTATCTATCTATCTATCTATCTATGTGACTGTGTGGGAATAGCTGAAGTTTCTTACCCTGGTAATTTTCCCATCAAATCCAAAGTCTGAGAGAAAGTACAGTTCATACCTAGGATGAATATTTCTAGTGATGGCTGTCTTCTGGCTTTTCTAGTAAACGTTTACTGATGATACTAATTGTTACTGTGACTTGCGACTTACAACCTCTGTGAATTTATATGAAATTTGAAGAACTACCTTTTAAATACTTCTGAGTAGTTTTACAGGTTTGACTGTGCCTAACTACATGTAGCTAGTCCAAGAGAGTCTGGTCCTAGGAAGTGGGTTTTTCAGGCTTCTGATTTTTTTTTTTTTCTTGTACCTTTTCTGAAGACTAATTTTTCAGCACCATTTGTGAAGTGTGGGCACCCAGTGTGGTAGTCGTTTTACCACTAGACTAGGCAGGGTAACGTTACTTTATTGCTCCTGAATGCTGTCGTGTTTCCTGCGAAGCCTCTTGGCTGCAGCACTGTAGCGGGAGCTCGTCGTCTTTGTTGTTCACCATAATCCTGAAGAACTTCTGCGATTCGGTGTTTTCCAGGACAAAAGTCTGCCCATATTAAGTGTGAATTATGCCCTTTGTTCCTGGACAGGTACAGTTGCATTCAGCTATATTAAAATGCTAAATGAGCTTGGCTTCCCAAGGGATTGAGGTTGTACTTTGGAGTCCTAAGGGGCTCAATCAGCAGTGGGTTGTGCTTTTCCAGTGAAGGCAGAGAGCATACAGCCAGAAACAGGCCCTGGAAGATGACTGTAAAACGTCATTTTTGAGGTGAAACTGCCCACACCCCTGACAACTATTCCTTATACAACCATACTATTAACACTTAACAGGCACTTTTTACTCCATTACAGAGATGTTATTGTTTCTGTGTGTGGTTAATTCTTTAATCGATGCTTTGTGGCATGGAGCCCATCGTCCTGCACAAGCTAGGTAAATTATCAGTTACTTCAGCAACCACATTTTTCATATTCCAAATGTAAATTTTGATTCAGCTTTTGTGTTTGTTTAAGGCTGAGTTGCTCTATTTTACTCACTTGTATTCCCCATCAGTCTTTCTGTAGCTTTGCGTAGAATGGATGTCCTGTTTCCCCTGTATTCTGTTGGGCAAAGTGTTTATCCACAGCTTCTGTTGTTGGATTTGAATTTGCTTGGCAGTGAAATTACTGCTTTCTTGGGGCACCTATTTTTGTATTAGATGCCGATACCCTGTGGGCATTAAAGTTTCAGTCTTTTAGCTTCAAGCAACAGTGATGTTCCTGCAGATCCAAACTGGCAGACACCGGTAGCCTAAATGCTAGTGTTTATTAGAGCAGAGCAAGGCTTGAGGGTAACCATGCCAAGTCTTGGCTCATTAAACCGTCAGGAAGATTCAAGAAGGCTGCTTTTAAAGATAAGGGCAAGAATTGGCGAGGGTAGGCAGGGGTGGGAGAACGGCAGTGAGCAGGCCATGTGGTAGGTGTCTTCTATCTTCCCATAGATAATTTGAAGGCAAGAGCAGACTCATTGAGACAAATGATCTGCCATACAAGTAGGAGTAATAGCAAGTTGGAGTAATAGTGTGCAGCACTTGTCACTGCCGGAGTTTAATTGGCACTGGTCTGAAATACCGGGATTAGGCAGGATCAACTCTCTGCTTCTCTGGAGTCCTAACTAGTTATTAATGCCTTGATTTTTTGAAGAATTTTGGTAAAGATTAGTGTAGGAAAATGAGTGATTTATCTTTTATCGTGATGGGGAAGCTATTTGGAATTAACGTAGCCTTTGGTTCGTTTATCCAGGGGAGCTCTCTTCCAAAGTTTCAGCAACACTGGTATTCTTCCAGAAATTTCAACTGGTTTAACTTGAATGTGATTACCTCTTGTCTCTCTTTGCAGAAGACTTAGTATATTTGGATGACTCAGACCTGGACTGGGATGTTTAAGGTTTGATAGGGTAACTTGATGTGGATAAATACTTCAGATTAGAATGAGCAAATTGTGCTTGTTCCCATTTATCTCCTAAAAAATGCGGTCTTGTAAGAGCAGAGACGAGAGATGCTTGTTTTTGTGTTGCCATTGTTAATGACGGTTTCTATAGAGTAGAATCTTATTAATAGATTGGATTAATAGAATCTGAGCCATTTAAAGTTATTTAACAGATTTGGTCTAATTGGTAGTCTTGCTAATAATCTGAATTATTATAAATAGCGAGTTCATTGCAATACAGACAAAAGAA